TCAAGGACAGGGCTCCTTGTTCCAGCACTGATTTGGCACTTACATTAACTTTGCATCTAGTCAGACTGTTCAGCACCAAGGGTTAAGATTTTTCCACATGAAAACTATGCAGAACAATTGCTACAGCATAAAGTCTCTTAAAAAAATTATAGACCAGTGTTTACTTTGAACTCCATACTTTACAAGCTCAGACATATAACTCAAGAGAGTGAATATACTTTAGGTTTGAATACTAAAAGGCTCAAATTCAATGCTGTACCATTAAAAGGGTGTTGAAAATGATTAAGAGAAAAGAAATTATTCAATTAATGTTATTAGAGTTTGACAAACAGTTCTTCCTTGTCCCAGAAGCTGAAAATGTCCAGTCAGCACCGATTCTCACCAAGCTGTAGTTGGCCCCCTGCTCCTCCAGAGCGGCAGGTACACCGAGCCTCCTCCCGTGCAGTCTGCTAACCGACACCAGCATGACAGCTTTTTCTGAGAACAGATGCAAGTGCTCTATCAGCCCTTCCACAAGGCTGGCTTCAAACTCTGCATGCTCAATTATGCTAAGCAGAAATACCCTTTTTCAGCATTCTGAAAGCACTGGATTTCTAAGCAGCCTACTTCAGACATTATAAGTACTTGAAATGGTCTCTGATGTTGGTTAGACACAGAAATTATAATATGTCTTCTCCTATTCTCATCAAGGCTGATACCGAAAAAACAGCACCTGACATTTTATTTCATATCCTTTATTCACATTTTTTATTTCATATTTACTCATACACAAGAGTATTAATTTCAGATTAATCACTACTAGAATATGAACTACTTAAAGACTGGGAACGTGTCTATTCATTCACCTTTCTATCTATTGCATATTTAGCTCATAGAGTATATCAAACATAGTGATCAATCTGTGAAGGTTCCCACAGGCCACATGCTTTCTTTAATAATGAGTGTGTCAAAGAAATTTTCACAACACTGTTATCTGCTTACTAAAAATATATATCCTCATTTCTGCAAGTATGGCTGACCATCTATAGATAACTATAAACACTTAAACTTTAAACAAAATTTAAAAACTAATTATCTGAAGTCTCTGGAGAAGGTTAAAAAACAAGGAGATTCTGGAAGAGAGTCAACACTTGGAAGAAGGGAAAGGCCTGGGTGAAATTACTGATTTCAGAGCTTTTAGCCTGAGTAGCAGAGTTTGAAGTAATCAAAGTGACAAAATGTGAGAGAGGAATACTAGAAAAGCCAGCTAAGGAATCCCAACCCTTGTGCACAAAAATCTGCTAGAATTTCTGGCTGACCTGCAAAACCATGTATCCCAGAAATAAATGCAAAAGTCAAACTAGGGAGAGAACTGAATTGAGTCTGCATCCAGAAATGCCAACACTCCTCAAGAGACATAACAGAATCAGATTTTCCACAATACACCACTCACGATGTCCAGTATACAGTCCCAAACTACTTAACATACTAAACACTGGAACCATATGACTCCTCAAGATAAAAGATTATCAATTCAGGTAAAATCTAAGATGACTAAGATTTTAGAATTGAACATAACACCTGTTTTAATTGTGCTCAACAGTATAAAAATAACATCTGCAATGAATAAAAACAAAATCCAAAAGAGAAAAAATATTTTTTCATATACACATATATGAGTCAAATACAAATTCTGAAAAAGATCATTATACTATCCGATATAAAATCATTTATCTGACAGGCTTAACAGAAAAATAAAATAGGAAAGACTCAGTGAGTTTAAAATGCAGCAGTAGAAATTAATCCAATCTAAAGAACAGGAGAAAAAACAAACAAACAACAAAAGTGAACAGAACCACCGGAACCTTTTAGAGAATATCAAACTGTTTAACATACCTATAAGTAAAGTCTTAAAAGGTGGGGAGAAAAAGGGTTAGATAAACTATTTGAAAAAGTAACAGCTGAAATGTTAAGACGAAATGGACAAACCCCTTGAAAAACAAACACAAAAAAATTTTCACAGAAGACAAAACAGAAATCTAATCAGTGCCGTGCCTTTAAGAACAGTGGACTCGTCAACAAGCTCCCAGACTCAGATGGTCTCACTGGTGACTCTATAAAATATTAAGGAAGAAACAGCATCAAACTAACATACATTCTTTGAGAAGAAAGAAAAGGAACTCTTCTCTACTAACTTCATGAAGCTGGCATAATACTAATACCAAAATCTGAAGATACTAATATTAAAAAAAAGAAAAGAAAATCATAGGCCAGTACCACTCATGAACACAGATGCATTTGCATACAGCAATATATAAAAAGGACAATACAGCATTACCAAGTAAGGTTTAACCCAGGAATGCAAAGTTGGTTTTAATTTAGACAAATCAATAAATAAAACTTACTACATTAACAGTAAAGAGAAATAACATCCTGTGTTCATTTCAACAGATACAGAAAAGGCATTCAGTAAAATTCACTATCCAGTCAGGATCAAATCTCTTAGAAAAAGTGAAAAAGAAGGAAACTTCCTCTACATCATAAAGGATAGCTACAAAAACCCAATGGCTGTTACCACGGTGAAATTAATGAATGCTTTCCACATTGATTGGAATGAGGGAAGAATGCCTAAATCTCACCACTTACATCCAAGCATTATACTAGAGATCCTAGCCAACCCAGGAATGCAAGCTAAATGAATAAAAAACATAAAAACTGGACAAGAAGAAGTAAACTCTTTGTGCAGACGATCTGACCATGCATAAAGCAAATACTAAAGAATCCATAAAACAACTTACTAGAACAAGTGAATTTATCAAGACAGCAGAATACAAAGTCAAGATACAAAATTTTATATTAGAGTGCTCGCTTCGGCAGCACATATACTAAAATTGGAATGATACAGAGAAGATTAGCATGGCCCCTGCGCAAGGATGACATGCAAATTCGTGAAGCGTTCCATATTTTTTTTTAATTCTATATTAGAAGCAAAAATTGGAAAATAAAATTTTAAACATTCATTTACAACTGTTAAAAAACATAAAATATTTAGGAATGAGTTTAACAAAAGACAAGTCCTTTGCCCTGAAAAGTATGAAACACTGCTGAAAGAAATTTAAAATCTAAATAAATGGATAGATATACTATGTTCAAGAAAGGGAAAACTCAGTATTATTAAGATGTCATATCTCCCTGTGTTGATCAACAGATTCAATGCAAAAGCAATTATAATCCCAGCAGAATGTTTTGTGAAAATTAATCAATCTTAAATTTATATGGAATTGCTAAGACCTATAGCCAGGCAATCCTGAAAAAGGACAAAGTTGAACGGCTACTTACCTAACTTCATGTCTTACTATAAAAAGTTACAGTAATACAGACAGCAGGGTACATAAGATACAACATAATGACCCATAAATAGATCAATGGACTATACTATAAAGTGCAGAAATAGATGCTCCTAGAGTTACCTAATCTTCATCAAAGGTGCCAACACAATCAGCAATCAGTGGCAGGGAAACATTTTTCAACACACAGTAATGGAAAAACGGCATACCCATATGGAGAAAAACTAAGTTTCAACCCTATCTCGTACCACACACTAAAATTAATTAAAGAGGCATCACAGACCTAAAAGTAAAAGCTGAAATGATAAAGGTTTTACAGGCAACACAGGAGACTATCTTTATAACCCAAAAAGGATTCTAATGTTTCCTTGAGGTTGGCAAAAACTTCTCAGTTGACAGAAGGTAATAATCATAAAAAACCTGCTATATGAGAGGTCATCAAAATTTAATATGTCTGCTTATTATGACTCTATTAATATTAGACAAGCCACAGACTGAGCCAAATATTCAAAAAACATGTATCTAACAAAAGGTTTGTATCTAGAATATGGAAAAATGCTCTTACAATTCAATGATATGAAGACATACAGCCCATTTACAAATAAGCAAAGATTGAAAAAGATACTTCAAAATTGAAGATATACAGATGGCCAAAAAGTATGTGAAAAAGTAGACAAAATCATCAATTATCAAGGGAGTGCAAATTAACACCATCAGAAAACCAATACACTATTAGAATGGGTAAATTAAAGAGACTGACAACATCAAATACTGATGAAGACAGCGGGCAACCACAACTGGCATGCTCTGCTGGAAATGTCAGAAGGTACAACGAATCTGGGAAAATAGTATGGCAATTTCTTAAAAAACGAAATACACAGCACTTTAAAGCCTAAGTACTCACTCAAAAGAAATGAAAACATATGGTCACAAAATGACAGATGAAAATGGACACAGAAATTTAATTTATAATAATCCCAAACTGAAACCATCCTGGAAAATGGATAGATTGTAGTATATTCAGGTAATAGACCATTCATTACGCAGCAATCAAAAGAACTGAACTACTGACATATACAACAGTGTGCATGAATCATATATATGCACACTCAAAAGAAAGAAAAGAAAAAACAGGCTTAAAAGAGTAAAAATTTAGGCCACATTTAAGATGACCAAGAGTTTAGAATTTGATACAAGACTTTAAAAGTACCTATTGGATTTGTGCTCAATAACATAAAATAACACATGTGATGACTGAAAAATAGAACTTTTTTCCTAGGATAGATAATAAATAATATTTTGAGTATTTATGTGCTAAGCCCTGTGCCTATAAGCATTTAACAAAGAAAATCTTATTTAATTTTCAACAATCCAACCTCATCTTACCGATGAAGAAACTAAAATAGGAAGAAGTTAATAGGTTGTCCAAAGTCACACTGCTAGTATAATTCAGAAGTATAATTTTTTAGGGCTCTATAACTCACACTTAAAGTCAAACAGAAATGACAAAATCACTAAATAAATCTTTACTTAACTTTGAAAAGATGTATGTGCTGCGGACAGGGTTGTGCTAAGGGAACATACCTCCAAAAAATAACCAAACAGAATGTAAATCAAACATCTCCTCCCTTGGGATTAACATACCCTCAGTGTAGGCCTCACTGTCTTACTTACCTTGGGAAACTGTTTTACAGGAATTAACACTTTCTGTCCCAGCTTCATGTTCTTATTAATCACCACATCAATGTACTTTTCTTCATCCTTGCCTTCTCCTTTTTGAAACTTTTCTATTTCTGTGGAAGAAAAAAGATAACCATGAAGTGTATGACTTAGAACTCCAAAGGCTGGGAGTTCTTACTCTACTGTGGCATTAAATCAAATACAGGACTGTGGATAATTAGACTGATACAACTTTTTCAAGTACTGACACATCTCCCGTGTTACCAGTGATTCCTCATCAGTACAGGGGAGAAGAGGCCCATATCAGGGCTCACAAATCCCCATCTCACCTGTCCATGCTGTGCAGGGGCACCACCGACCAGCTAACAATGAGCACAAACAAAAATGAGTTCCTTCGGGTCTTCTGGAATCGTAAAGAAAGGCTGCTCAAACAGCAAGAACAGCCAGAAAGAATTCTCAGTTCAGTGTTACAAAGTACCGACTTCGCTATTTATCACCCCTGACTGGCTCTCCAAGGCTCATACCATCAAGAACTGATTCTTCACAATGGCTTTACAGCCCAGGACTCCCTTCCGTCAGCCCACCTCCCCATCCAAAGCTCCCCTCCCCACAAGTGGCATGAACCAACTCCATGCTCACATCTCTGCTGACGCTCTTCTCTCTACTTGTGATATGACTTTGACAATTTCAATCTCATACATCTCCTTCAAGATTCACCCACACTGAATACCACTTTTTATGTGCAACTGTCCCTTTCCTCAGCTGGCAGCAGGAGTGGGAGACTAGGTCACTCACAGAGCACAACACCCACAGCTCCGTGTTTTTTAGATGGACACCAATGTGGTACCTCTCTACTACAGATAATGGCCTCCTCTGTCCAATTCCCACACTGTGATGTTATTACTCCCTCAGCCTCCTGACCGGCCCAAGGTGAGGGTTCTAGGAGGTGGGCCTTTGGGAAATGACTGGGTCATAGGCGAGCTCATGAGTGTGATCCTTGCCCTTACAGAGACCCCAGAGACCTGCTCCTCATGCCGTGTGGGGGCACAGCCAGACGACCGCCATGTGTGAACCCCAAGGCAGCTCTCACCTGACACTGAATCTGCAGGCGTGGCAATCCTGGACTTCAAGCCTCCAGAACTGTGAGAAATACATTTGTGCTGTTCATGAGCCCCCAGGGTGTGATATTTGTTACAGAAAACAGACTAATACTCTCCTACCAGATATGCCATTTCCTCACACTATTGGATAGCAAATGCCTACAGGAGATACACAAACAGATGCTTGAATGACTGACGAACACAAGCATACCTGGACTGTTCCCCCCAAGATGGACCACAGGATTAAGGAAGGGCACCACAGCACGCAGACAGTACCGAGGACGGCTCCAGTCGCACAAAGTTACATTTACTCATTTGGCTTGCTGAGCTAGGGATATTTAAGACTTTAATATATATCACATTCAGGACCTTATTCAATCCTCAAGACAGGTGGCAAAAAGTTCAAAAGGGTTACTTTGCTAATAAATGGCACAGGTAGGATTAAGCCCCACCCCCACCCCACCGATTTGTCTGACAATAAAGACAGCATGCCACTGCAGTTTCTTCCACCGCTTTTTATTTCACATTCAGACAGGAAGCAGGATTTTCATGGCACCCTAGGGCAAATGGAGAATGTGTTAAAGGTAGAAGGTTCAGCATAGGGCTCTGGTTCCCACTGCAGAACGCAGTGGGCCCCAATGTTTTCTCTTAGTTTTCCATTCCCTGAACCTCATTCTGCTCATTATCTATAAACCTCCACTGTCTCTGCATTCAGAGCAGAACCCTCTCTCCCCTGCGGTGACAGTGTTGTCACCTGTCATAATGGTCCTTACACTTTAGTGTCAGAATAATTTTTTCATTAACAATGCACAGTAGGAAGTCAGTTTATAGGTGGAGTATAATGAAAAACATCAGGTTGACCCTTGATCAACATGGGTTTGAACTGTGTGGTTCCACTTACATGTGGACTTTTTTCAATAAATATATTGAAAATATTTCTGGATATTTGCAACAATTTGAAAAATTTTCTTTTCTCTCTTACTTTATTGTAAGAATACAGTGTATACTACTGTAGCACACAAAATATGTTTCAACCAACTGCTCATGTTACTGGTAAGGCTTCTGGTCAACAGTAGACTACTAATAATTTTTTGAGGACTCAAAAGTTACATGTGGATTTTCTACTGCAAGGGGTCAGTGCCCCTAGTCCCCAACCCCCTCACCCCACACTGTCCAAGGGTCAGCTGTATGGTCTTTGGTCTACTTTTCCAGTTTCTAGCACAGAGCTCCTAAACCCTTGGAATTTCCTAAGTGATAAAAGCGCCTTCTGTCATCTTAACAAGCCCCTTCAAAGCATACCTGAGTTTATGCTAATGTGGTGATTCTTGGAGAAAAAGGGGGGACTTGTTGCCAGAAAAAACAGCCATATGGTTGGTTGGAACTTTCAGCAACACCCCCCCTCCATGAACCCCCACCTCTAGAGAGAGGAGAGGTGCAGAGATTGAGTTCAATCACCAATGATTTAATCAATCTTGCCCACATAGTGGAGGCTCCATGAAGACCCCTAAACAACAGAGTGCGGAGAGCTTCTGCGTTGGTGAACATCCAAGTGCTGGAAGGGTGGCACACCTGGAGGGGGCATGGATGCCCTGCATCCCTCCCCCACACCATGCCCTGTGCAGCTCTTCTCTTGAGCTTCTCCTGATTTGTATCCTGACTTTATAAGAAACCATAATAGTAAGTACAGTGCTTTCCTGAGTTCTGAGTCATTCCAGCAAATTATTGAACCCGAGGGTGCATTATGGAAGTCCCAGACTTGCAGCTGGCCAGGCAGCGACGCCGGCGGCTGGGGAGTGTGTCTGTAGTGCCCACTGCAGTGGAACAGCCCTGCACGACTGGGCCTCACTCTGTGGGGTCTGCCCTGACTCCGGAGCCTCCTGTCCAACTGAACTGGATTGCTGGACAACCATCAGTGTTGGAGAATTGGCTGGTGTCAGAAAAGACTACCCAGCAGGGATTAAGAATGACAGAGAAAGGAGAAGAGAGGTAGGGGGAGAGGGGCTGAAGATGGAAAGAGTAGCTGAGCAGGAACAGTGACCATGCAGCAGCCCGGACCAAAGCTTCTAAGACAAACACTCATCTCCAAATACACTCATTACTGGGTCTGCTTCCTTGCATTTATCCTATGTTTTGACCTTGTAAACTAATTCTAGATAGAATCTGGATTGGAACAATATACACTGAAATAGGAGAAATGGAAAAATTTGGATAATTCTTGTTGGAAAAAACCTTTCAAGAAACTGTCCCCACACAAAGATACTACAATATTACTGACTGTATATATCCCTGTGCTGTTAAGTTTCACTTCATGATTGAAAGTTTGTACCTCTTTATCCCCTTTACCTATTTCACTCTTTTCTGTAAAAATAAAATATACACATAATAAAAATTTAAAACAGCATAACAGAATATAAAATTAAAAGAACAGGTTTCTCCTACACCCATGCTCCAGAGGAAATAATAATCAACAATTTTATATACTCTTAAAGAAATCTTCCACAAATAAGCACATGTGTGCACATATGCATACACAACAAAATATACAAAGTTTGAAAATTGTAGAACTAATGATATAAATTAGTTTCATTTTCCTTAGTAAAGAGCAATAAGTCCCATGTCCTCTGTTCCATCAAGAATGGTAATTCATGACTTCAGCTTTAATTATTAGAAAACAAATTCATTTATCTTCATCCATTTATACTGTAATTAGAAGTACCTTCAGCATAGCTAGAAGATTGAAGAAAATTAGGTATACTGAAATATCCTAGAAAAAAAATTCAATGTACATATAAGTTCATCAAAATAGATTTTACTATTTTCTTTTCAAATAACAAAGCATTTTTATAATTTTTGGGAGCTTAAACATATACAGCACAATTTAATATTTAATTCCATAATCAGAATTCAAAATGTTATTCCTTGCATCTGTCACATTTAACATTTGAAGTAACATGTAAAGTCTTAAAGGTAAGATTTAAAAATTAGAAGAGAAGTATATATTTTACTATATATTACATTAAAGTTGCAGATATTCCTGAGGTAGGTCAGGGACATGGGACAAGCATCATAATTAGCTTTCCCTGTCTATGATGAAAAATGCTGTTATATAAACAGTGTAGTAAGAACAGGAGGGACCCCATCTTAAGGCTAAGATTCCATTTTAAAAAGCAGAGAATTGAAAAGTAAGATTCCTAACATATTCTCTGGTAATCAGACAATAACCCAACAGCCTATCTTAAGGCAGGGTAGGCAGTCATAACTGATATGTCCCCACTGCTTGAGGGTAACCACTATCTTGGACAAGAACAGGATAAACAAATTCCTTGTGTTGGGTTTAGTTAGTAGAATTAGTTGGAGGACTGATAATAAAAAAAAAGACATGGTGTCTCTCACCAGCAATAAGCACCCTGAGACCACAAGTCAAGCTTACACCCAAAACGCCCCCTCTACCCTTTGCCCCATTCTTGAAAGCCTTAAAAGACAGAATCCCCAAACTTTCAGTGTGTCTCCTCTCTGAGGACACCCGCACTTTCCTTTCTTTAAGTGTGTACTTTAAAATAAAGCTCTCTCACTGCTCAGATTATTGCTGTTTTTCTCTTTACTATTCCATTTTATTTCCAAGTCTTCATTCTATCTCTGCTTTACTCCTAAATAAGTAGAAAGGGGTGTGTGCTAAGAGCCCAGATTTATAAACGTAACCAAGGAGGTGAAAGACCTTTACCCTGAAAACTATAAGATACTCTTAAGAGAAATTAGTGAGGACACTAATAATTGGAATGACATCCCATGCTCTTGGCTAGGAAGGATTAATATTGTTAAAATGGCCATCCTGCCTAAAGCATCTATAGATTAAATGCAATCCCTATCAAATTACCAACAGCATTCTTCAACAAACTAAAGAAAATAGTTCTAAAATTGAGATGGAACCACAAAAGAACCCGAATAACCAAATCAATCCTGAGAAGGAAGAATAAAGCAGGGGGGATCTCGCTTCTCAACTTCAAGCTCTACTA